TTTCCAATTTCAAAATCGAAAATTTACTGTAAAGTCATAGTTCTGAAATTAAATTTGGAATCAAAATTAGAAGCTCTAGAAGGCGTTAACAAAACTATCAGAACTTGTATATATATATATGTTTGTTTGATTAGAGTAAAGATGTAGTGCCACATGACCAGATCTTCCATTTCTTCCAGATTGATCCGGTATTAAGCCGGAGAAGATAAAATCTAGCACGATTACACATCCAACTATTTCACGCTGCTAAATCGACAACCTCCAACTAACTCAAAATTCACTGATTGGCTTCATTTATTCATACAAAATAGTAAACAGCTGTGAAGTGAGTGACCATTTTTATTATTTTAATTAATGGTCAAAATGGAGTTTCGTGGACATACTGTGGCCTTGATTCATCGCGTGAAATGCAGTTTTATAAACCGACAAATGTGATGATTGACATATCGAGGGGCTTAACTATGATGCTTTCTTGTTTGCATAGGTAAAAATTTGGACAGTTTGCAAAGTTATCCTAAAAAACCTTAAATATGTCCAGAATTTTAAGTAGCAACAACAAGAGTAGTTGTGCATTAAAGCGTGATCAGACAATGCAGTCTAATCTGAAAATCGTAGAAATGATCACATTCAGTTTAAATATAACAGCCAATCTACAAATAAAGCTTTCCAAACGCAAACAATAAAAAAATCAATGAATCGAGGCTGTCATATGATCAATTTTTGCTCTTTTCACCTAGATGTTTAGATAAATTTAATTTTTGAAAAATCAATGCCACCTTGAAAAAGCCAAAGTAATAATAATATTTATATCAAGTAGTAGTCTTTATGATTGTTATCAATAGCTCTTTAGTTGACTTCGGACTTCACAGAGGTGAGGAACACCAAAGTCACAAAAAGCCAAGGGGAGAGGGGGAGTGGAAGAGCGATTCACAGATTTAAAATGTTAGACACAAAGATAGAAAAAAGATGAGGTGAGTATTCTGGAAGTAGTCGAATATGACATACAGTGGGGTCATGGTAGTGTGAAGTCAGAAGTAAACTGTCAATTAATAGACTTTTTGGCGAGGATAATATATTGACAACCATTTTCATATTAAATATTTATATCGTCCTCCTTTATTTATATTTTATACCCTAATTTTGTATTCTCTAAAATTTTCACAAATATTGTGAATTTAGTCCGACTGAGTATATAGATGTATTTTTATGTTTTAACTTATAAGAAATTGATGATAAGAAATGACGGAAAAAATAATTTCATAGTTTTTAAATGTCTGTCAGTCAAAAATTTTACGATATATTTTAAAGATGATAAATTACAAGTGAAAGTGCTATAAATTCATAGCAATAAATTTATTAATATATCGGTAATTTGAGTTGGGATTACATGTCCGACTAAGCCTTTACCAGGTTTTTATTATCAATATTTCATTTAATTGGGCAAAATCTTGCCAATATTTTAAAGCTAATGATTAAAGAAAATCTATTTTGGAATCATGGTATAATTTAACTTTCATTTTTAGAGCCAATATCTCCGAAGATCTGAATGATCATAAAAATGTGTAAAATAAAAAACGTTTGCTTTACTTTTCTTGCCGTTTAATATTAAAATTGAATATTTTATAATGGTTTATTTGGATGTAAATAAGGGGGACTTCTACGGTCAAGTTATTTCTTTCTGACTGCATTATTGCATTCTATTTAACTTTTGCCCAAGCCAGATAACAGTAATGAGTTAATTTTTTTTGGTAGATCATATGGAGTGCATGAATTGAACAACAGTGTGCACATAATATTCAAATTCTCGTTTAAAGATAATAGACTGAATTCCGGAGGGTTTTGGGCTAAATCTGATTTAGATCCGTGAGTTGTAATAAAAAATTGGAGTGGTTAAAATTCGAGCTCTTGTGAGCCCTGTTAATTTGAAAATCTCGTTGTTAAAATCATTAAAATTATGACTTTAAAAATTTTGCATTACTGCTATTGGCGGTGTAGAATGTATACTTTCACATAGCAATGACTAATAAATCCATAAATCAACGGAGAGACCATCAGTGCAATGGATTCTACTTGGAAGACTTCCAATGAAAAAAATCCATACAAACAACAATTCCAATCAGACAACAAAGGCGTAAATCTAAACTTATACCATCCCGCAACCCAATTCAGGGTATTCAACGATTTTTGAAGTAAATAGAAAGTGAGTTGAAAATATCTAAAAACCTATAGATGCAATGTTAAGACAAGTTATCAGATCATATTTTTTTCCATAACCATCACGTTCCTGTCAACGGTAAACTTTGCAACCATAGCTCATTAACGTGCTTGCACAAGTGATTTGCAAAAACTATCATTGCATTTTCACTAAACAAGTGGTCTAATCGATTCCCCTTGACAGTATAACTCCGCGCGTTCAACATTTTACATTATTCTTTGAATGCTATTGGCTGCTAACAATAATATATTCTTCTGTGTTATTAAAATCCTCTGAGAACGAGCCCACAATACCAAATTGGCTTTAAAATAAAAGAATGCAACCGGAGGTTTGGTCTAAAATTATCAGGCAGTTTTAAACAAACTATTGAATTCATTTTTTATCTAATAGATTTTTCGAGGTCTTTGGATCAAACAGATAAAGATGTATATTAATTTGCCTTCTTATTCACGTGGATGCAAGAAGGTTAAACGAAGCAACAGCACTCAAAACCCATCTTGATTAAATAGTGCTGGACAAAATGTTCAGAGCACCGTCGTCAACCGTTTCCCCCCCCCCCCTTCCCAACCCTCAATCCAACGGACAAAAAGTGATTGCTCTTCAACTGCCCATCAAGCAAATGCTGTACAACCTGCATCAAATCGAAGTTCATATGAAGTAGGATTCATCGGCGCCCTGAATTCGTTCCCACTCTTCTTTGCTTCCTGCTCTCACGAGATGTACAAAGTTTACAAGGCTAAGAAAATGGGGTGGGGAGGGGAGTGAGAGTAATTGTCTTAAAATTAGTAGCAGTAACAACTTACGCTGTTGTTGCTGTTGTTGAATGGTCTTTTGTTTTCACGGGTTTACATTTTTTCTCTAGCAACGGTGTTCGTTTAATGCAACCAACAATTGCCCATATAAATAAATCTAAAGACGTTAATTACTAATGAATATATGCGTTAGCAATTTATTGCTTATTTTGGGAATATTCTGGTCTAGAAAAAAGAAATCGAATTGATTTTGCATATTTTCATAGTCTAACTATTTAAAAATGTGTCTACGAGAGGATTTTTCAAAATTCAAGTTATTTTCGGAGATATAAGTATTTTGCTGAGCAGACATCCAAATCGGTTGGGCTGCAACTAATCAAACAAAAGACATAATGGATTCTTCGACTACATGAATCTATATTTCTTAGTAAGCCCTTTTGTTCCGTTATATAAATATATATATATATATATATATATATATATATATATATA